AAACTCAACACAGAAAACATTCAACTCTGCAGCTCCATGGCCAGCATCAGCATCAGCATCAGCTTGGGATGGACTCAGCTAGGCTCCCTAAGACTTAACTAGCCCCTTGCCTCCAGCTCTACTCCCTAAAGCACATAGAGTCTCCCTTTGGGCAACCTCCACTCCTTATATGCAGGTTTTCTCTGCAGAAGCCCCTTGGTCCTGACATTCTCAGCACTCTGGAGTTTGCTGCAACCTACTGTGAACAAAACCTCTTAAAAAGAAGCTGTGTCTGCATTGAGTGGTTGACTGATTGGATTTTCAGTACTGTGCAGATATTAGAATGTAGTAGGTCCAAAGCTAATTACCTTATTGTGAGCCGGTTTTTGTCCCCTAGAATAGCCATTCCTTGCTCACCTTTGTGTCTGAACTAACACCTTATGACTAATAGATGGGAACCTTTCAGAATCTATTAACTTAGCAGACCATTAGTGTTGGGAGCTGTGAACGCCCCCAGATCCTGAATTTCTGGTAAACAACTTGTAATGTTTGCAGCTGCTCTGAGCACGAGACCCTCAGGAGTTCCTGATGGCAGGGGAGTGGTTTCTGGTGCGTTTGGCTGGGGTGTGGCTATCAGTTAAGGATCTCTATATAAGCGGCTCTGGTGCACAATACAGGGGCCATTCCTGTTTCAAGGATGACCTGTCTCTCTCTCTCTCTCTCTCTCTCTCTCTCTCTCTCTCTCTCTCTCTCTCTCTCTCTCTCTGTGAGTCTTTGTGTGTTTCAATCTTCAGCCCTTTGCTGAGTTCACAAACTGTATGGTGGAGCATAGAGCGCAGACGGGCGTGATGCACTACACACTAGCTTTTACTACCCATATGCAAAGTATCAGCAGATCATATGTGGCCTAGAAAAAAAATCTTCCATCTTGCTGTAACTGCCTCTCTTATGTACCCGCCATGATTTATTTGACTACACTTGTTCTATAAAACTATAAAACTTCATGAAATGGCTTTCACGTTGGGACACAAAATTTGGGGTAACCTAAGTCTGTGTTCCTAGGTCATAATCACACAAAATAGATCCAGAAAAAAAAAACTATTTCTTATTCCCTTTAAGATGAGAGCGGTGGTTTTGGCATCCATAGTAGGCTTCACCTTCACAGCTTCACACAGTTAAACAGGAAAGCAGTGTTATTGCATACAACTAAATCAACGGGGCAGGCTTTATGGTACACAGATGAATCAAGGAGGCAGATTTAGCTAATCTTGGTAGGAGCAGTCTCTCTAGGAGAACAAACTCCAGGCTGTAAATATCTGTAGGGAGAAAGATACAGTGCATATTTTCTGCACATGCTAGCTATCAACATTGGCACTCAAATCAGAAGGGGCGGCTTTATCATTTCCCTGAGCCCAGGGAAGACTTTGCTATTATGAGTTTAAGGCACCAAGATCTTCAATATGACCCTGACTATGTCAAACAATACACATTCGCTCGGGGCTTCCTCCACAGCCCACACCTCTGCCCTAGAATGTCAGGGACCCTGGTTTTATTAGGCAAGTCCTTTAAGTAGAGGGTCTGGTGTCAGTAATAAATTATTAAATTTATTCCAGTCTCATGGGGTTGTTACATGTTTCACTGTACAGGTACAGAAAAGAGGGTAATGTCCCAGGTCCCACAGAAAGTCAAGAACACTGACTAAAGTCTGTGCTTTCCCAAAGCCAAACCTATGTTCTGTGTCTTCCTCATATGCTGCCCTGAGAAGGAAAAAGCCTCCAACCGTGTGTGTAGGGGGGGGGCGGGTTGTGGCATGTGTCACATGAATTGGGAAAAACAGACTTAGCTACCCTTGAGAAAAACATGAGAATCCTACAGAGTCGAGACAACAGTTAGACATGAAGGATATCTTGTGCCATTTAAGGATTTTCGCCCAATTGAAATTCTCCATAGAAAAGTAGCAGAACACTAAGTAGAACTTCCTTGACTAGAAAGCAAAGAAACTTGCAGGAACAGCTGGATGAAGATGAGAGCTCTCAGCTGTTCCTAGAGCTGTGCCTTTGCTCCTCCATCATGGACTCGAGCTCTCTGAAACCATAAGCCCAATTATGAACTTCTGCTTATAAATTATGCCTTGGTTGTTATGTCTTATCAAAGTAATAGAAAGGTTACTAAGACAGCTTCTATCTTTAAAATTGTTGTTAAATATATAAATGCAACCTGCTCCACCCATATGAAGTTACTTACATGTATCTGCTTTTAAGTATGACCACTTGATATTGGATAACCAAAATGGAAGCTCATTTTGTAAAAATTTTTTCAAACTCATAGCTTTTAGAATAAAGTTAGCAGAATTGTACTGAATGATAGATAATAAAACTTTTTGACAAGGAAGGATCAGAGAGAATGGATGGCCAATTGTGAGCATTTTATCCAAGGTAGATATTACATCATGTAGAACATATGAGCCAATCATTTGTATCACAGACAATCTAGCTCAGGGTCTACATAATTCATCGAAACCTATCAGAACTCCTGTTTTCAGGAAGCCATAACTCATCAATATATTGTTTATCAATATTACCCACAGGTATAACTTTATATATTCACCTACAATATTGAAAAGTTGCCATGCCCCTTTTGAATTCTTTGAATATGAGTAACTGTCTTAGTTAGGGTTTCTAATGCTGTGAAGAGATATCATGGCCATGGCAACTCTTAGAAAGGAAAAGCATTTCATTTGAATGGCTTATTTTCAGAGGCTTAGCCCATTATGATCATGGCAAGACATAGTGACATACAGGTGGACGTGGCACTGGCTGTATCCTAATCAGATGACAACAGGAAGTGGTCTGAGATACTGGGCATGACTTGAGCATACATGAAATCTCAAAGCCCTCCTAAAGTGACACACTTCCTCCAACAAGGCTACACCTACTCCAACAAGGCCACACCTTCTAATAGTGCCAATTCCTATGAGCTTATAGGGACCAATTACATTCAAACTGCCACAATAATAAAAACATACCATATTTATAATCACATGACACAAAATTATACAAAGATATGAACTTTATGGGGAGCACATCTTGCTCTTTCAAAATAAAGGTCAAGAACATAACTTAGTTTTTGTTCTCATACTCGGGGATATTATCTATTTCTTCTTTTTTTTCTCTTTAAACACTTTATTATTTTTTTTTAGGATGAAATTTTATAAATTTAATAAACATCTTATAATTTCTAAATATAGTTGATTGACATTAAAAAACACGACTCAACTTAAGCATTTGTACATGTATATAATAATAACTCAGTTTTAAATAAGCTTTTATGATGATGACAGTAATATTTAAACATTTTATGCCAGTTTTT